CCCGCGCGGCGCGGGGGCTGCACCTGTCCCCGCGGGAGCGCTGCTGGCTTTGCTGGCGCCCGCGCAGCCCGTCTCGTTCTTCTCCGGGTGCGGAAAGGCCCGGGGAAATTGCGAAACCGGGGCGAGCTGCCGAGGGCTCGCGCTGGAGGCGAGCACCAGGGCCCCGGCTGGCCCTGCGTGTGAGACCAGGGGTAGAAAGGGTGGCGAGGGGCCTATGTGGAAAGGTCGCCCTCCGCTTCTGCCGCCTGACCCAACCGCAGAAAGGTCCTCCAAAGCCAAACGCCTCTCTCTTTTTTTTTTTTTTCTTTCCTTTTTTTTTTTTCCTTAAGTGAAGATTAACGAGATTAAATCTGGAATACTTTTCGTTCACAGCATATGAAATTAGCTCACACCTAAGTCCCTTTCGTGTTTCGACTTGCTTTCCTTAACTCAAATACACTTCACCTAATAAAACTGTGAAGGAGCTGGATTGGGTAACCTTGAAGGGTGCTGCCTTCCAGCTCATGGGAGGGTCTAGTTTGCGAGCAGAGGGTTAAGCGTTTTTGGGGAAGTTTAGCAAGGAGCATTATCATGCAGGGCATGCTGGAGCGCTGGGAGCAGGAACTGACAGCCTCGTGTGTGTGCACGAGCAGAGTCCCCTCCTCCTGCTTGCGCTGCTTCGAAAGCCGCTGCTCGGGCTCCAGTTGTTGTTTATGGCACAGTAAGATGGCTCTCAAGCGTTGCGGACGCTTCTGAATGGCATTTTGTGTTTTATGTGCCTGCGTTCATGTGGTTTTGCTGAAGCTTTACCATAAGAAGTGTCTTCATAGAACAGCGGTGTGTCCTGAAAAGGTTTGAAGGTTTTGAGTGCTCCGGCAGGCTTATGTACATACAGCCAGGATGTTGTTGTTAAGAGAAAGCGCACGAAAGAGCAAATTCCATATTTAACCAGAGTGAGTGAATTTGGGGGTAAATGTAAAATCGTGTTTGCAACAGGCTACCCTAGAAATGCCAGTGGGTGATCATCGCAGAAATGGGGACTAATGTGTTGTGTTTGTTCAGCGGATAAAGTTTATTAAATCTCCTTAGACTTTGTATTAAGGGGAAAATACTGTTGCCAGTGTTTGTGGCATTAATCTACTGCAGAGCATAGCGTCATCTTCCAGCAAGTTTTAAAATGCTGATCCTTGTCTCTGCTAGGTGCAAAGTGATGCTGCAAATAGCTATTTTTTTTGAAAATAAAAAGATTTTTCTTTGCTGAAATAAGAGCAAATAGATATAGAGAAGCACTTTAAAAAGTTGCTTTTGCTGCTTTGTGACAGAAAACCTATGTCTAGATCAGTCTGACAATGGTGCATCAGTTTGTGTGTGTTTTTTTAATAAAAATCTAATTTCTCAATAACATGATTTTTTTCAATGAGAATTTAAGTACTACCAAATCTGACTGGATCTGACTAGACTGTATAAATTCATACAGTAAACTGAAGTCACCCCCTGCCCCAAGTGCTTTAACACTTTTGGTTCCTGTAAGCTCTTAAGACTTGAATGTTGTTTTCGTAGTTTTTATTAAGTACAAATTAACAAAGTAGAAAAGCTTCTTTAATGCCATTAGTAGCTTTAGTAGAGATGAGTAGAGTCATAAAGAGAGTCATAAATTTCTATTTCTCTACACATAAGAGAGCTAAAGCAGGGATAATTTGGTAGGCCAGTATTTTGTAGTGTAACTTTCTCTTTAAGGATGCATTTCCTTTCTGAGCTGAAATACCTTCTCATATTTTTTTTTAATCTTTAAAAAGGAGTACAGTGAGATGACGATATTTAATTGTAGTTAGGAAGAATAACAGAAACTGAGGGAACTTGAGGGATGGTCTCAATCCTTAGTAGTAACAGCGGGGGATCTGTGAACAGATCAACAGAATATCCTCTCAGGGAGTTTGAAAAAAAGCAAGTTGTTGGGCTGCATGAGAAACACATTAAAGCAGTGGGACATTGTTTTCAGCCCTTGCCACCTTTCCTGTGGCACTTAATAGCTGACATAGATATGCAGGCAAAATTGCTGTTAAAGTATGGAGAATCTTGCTCATGAAGACAGCGTGGAAGATCAGATGGTATTGTAAGGAGACAACTGATCTAAAGAGGGCTCTTGATAAAGCTACGAAAATAACAGCATATAGTGGGAGAGCTGATTCTTGTTATTTAAAAAAAAAAGGCGGGGGGGAGGAAAAGAGAAAGCTGGCATCTTCAAAACGAACCCAAGAAAGGTTCTGTAGATCAGTCTGGGGAATTCTTTGTCAGAGTCGAAAAGAAGTCTGTGTGTTTAAAAGGTTATTTAAAGTATCCTTAGTTAAATGATATGAATTGTATGGATCTATCTTGTTGCCGAAAGACCCGAAAGCTTGGTATTCTTTCATATATAACTATCCTCTATATGTTAAATAAAAAAGGGGGTTTAAAAGTGTTATATGCATTGTTTTGCAATATGTCTTGTTGCCCGCTTCAGAATACAGGCAGAGTGCAAGAACACTGTTGCGTTCCAGAATGGAAAAGTTGGTCTTTTGTAAATATCCTGATAACCGTAACCTATATAGATCATATATTGGAGACTCATAAGGGCTATAGCAGTGACTGTGGATTAGCCATTCCACTGATTTTTTTTTTTATTTTCTGCTTTTTATCCTGTCCCTGAACTCTTGCTTAACATCCTTTCCTCATATTTTGCATATTCTAGTGCATAATTCTTCTGCTAAAAGAACCTCACCTCATTTTTTTTAGTACGTTTTTTTAAAAAAAGAATGAAACTCCACGACTTGAAGCAAACGTTCTTGAAACAAACTAAAAACGCTAAAAACATTTTAGGTTCAATGTGAATGCTTGCTAAGATCAAACAAAAGCCATCTCATTTCTATGTTGAGTTTTTATATCCATCTGCAAGTGCAGTCAACACAGAAAAAAGTCATTTGCTTCCAAATTCTGTTTTTGGTTTGCCTCATATCAGATGTATTAACTAGCAGGATTAAACTCCTTTTCAGTGATTTGCCGTGGATTTTGCTGTTTAGCTTACCTCTGTCTGGAGAGCTAACTGTATAACGCACATGCTAAGAGACATCCAGCTGAGGTGTCACCATTAATACCTTCAACAGTGTAGCTCGGATTTTAATTCCTAGTGTTTTTAAAGAGTTGAGCTGATGTGGACCTCTTCACCTGGGCAGAGCACTGCAGTCCCGTGTGGCCTCTTGTAGCCAGGCAGGCCTGGCATAGAGAGCTTCGTGTCCTGCTCTGTGTGAACTTCCCCCTTCATCTTGGCAAGGCTTACCCAGGTCTCGAAACAGCAAGAAGGCCCAAAAGACAATGAAAACCTAGACAGAAATGAAGGTAAAGCTGTAAACATGATGTGAACAGCAGAGGCACTTGCTTCTGTGCATGTAAATTGAATGTGGAATATGATCAAGTCTCCTCTTTCTGTTTGTGGAAAGATTAATTGCATTATACCTGCTGCTGTTCTCTTGTTTTGGTAGCTATTATATATGCTTCTTGCAAATTGTTTTATGAGAATTTGAATATGCCACAGAGAGACAGGAACAAGAGAAATACGATCTGCTGTTGCACTGTTGTGTTTTTGTTCTGTTGTGTTTGCCTTAAACCAAGTCAAAAGGAAATACTTGTAATACTTTTAATAGACCTAGCCATAGATGGTTTTGACATGCTATATGTAATGAGTAGGTAAAAACAAATAATGCTGTCAAAACTGAAAAAAATACATATAAAAACTTTTTTTTTCTTCTTGTTAAATTTGTGGGGAAAAATACACAGAAAACAAAAGAGGAAATGAGCTACAGTGAAACTAGATACACAAAGGATTGTCATATGCAAATGACAAAATGTTTTCCTGAAATATGTTTCAGTTACAGTAATCTTGGAATTTTGCGTTTGCAATGATCATGGGTAAGAAAAACTTAGAGAAGTTTTTTTGATGTTTGTTTTTATGTTGTTTCCTTTTTCCTTTTTTTTTTTTTTTTTAAGTTCATTGCTGTTCTTTAAATAGCATGACTGCCTAGTGTCCCCTCACAAAGAATAACAGCAGCTCTTAAAGGGACACTGTCGATTTGTCAATTTTAGTCTCCTCCTTCTGTTCCTTCCATAATCTCTATTTTTTTCTCTTTTACTTTGTGTGTGTGGCTTTTTTTTTTTTTTTGAAAAGTGATAGATTTTTGAAAAAATCCTTATGCTGTTTTCTGTTTCCTGACTAAGGATAACTATCTAGATCCTCTTTGGTGAGACACAGAAATAGAAATAATGAAATGTAGGGCAGAAAGGGACCTGAAGGGGTTACATTGTCTTCACCTTAAAAAAAAACAAAAAAAACAAAAAGAAACTTTTTTTTTAAACATGTGGCTAACTATTCTACACCTTTAAAGATGCCCAGTTTATTTTTTTTTCTGATACCTAATCCGATTCAACATGATTGACAGCAAAAGAAGATGCTCGGCCCTATCCCTAGTAGGCACAAAGAATGACTGACGACCATCTTTTTTGTATCAGTTTTTAAGTTTAAAGAATAATTTCTCTCCTTTTCTCTCTGTCTTTGTGCCTCTCTTTCTGTATTTAAGCAAGACCATATTATTCATCACTACTTGCAGGTGTGACCTAGTGTAGACGAAAGTGATTAAAAAAATTCTGTTACTTTATAGTTGGTAGGTACTATAGATATTAGATGTCTTTTCTTCTTCTGCCCTTTTCCCTTTCTTCTCTTGCTAATATTCTTGCTAACTCATTTTCTCCTCATTCTGAGGAATGCTGTGCTGACATAGAAAGGATTATCTGAACCAGGACCCTCGATTGTCCTTAATCCAGAATTTCCATTTTCATTTACAAAATGTTATGGTTGCATCTATCCGTCTGTGATGAGCATTGGCCTTTGCATCAGTGTAACTGAGGCACATTTGTCAGCTTGGATTTACAGGGAGCTGGCAAGAATAATGTGAATGGTCTGGGTCAGTAGCCCTATTGCTAGAAATGATTTTAAGATACCTATGCTGTACAGTTCTGGGAACATACACACGGGTGTATATATATGTGTGTGTATATATATCTACAAAATAAAAATAGCATGCACTGTTCTGCTAGTATTGTGTATCCACCTTGAAATAGCTATGTTAGACTGATACAGGGCAGAATGTTTGTCATGTAGCATAGTGCATGCATGTAAATAGTAAGAGCTCTGAGGAGTTAAGAGTCCTAAAGGAAGGCAAATACAATTAGTCTGAACAGGGGCATACTCCAAAAGTACTGTGCTGTCCGGTCACTGATCCACAGTGTATGGTAGGTTTTAACATAGTTTGGTGAATAGCTACATTATCTGCTTCATCTAGAAACTATTTTAACAAACCCCTGTTTTTTTTTCTGATACCTGTCAAAAAATGACAGTAGTTGACTAATGAGCAGTCTTCCTTCTTGAGCCCGAAGTAATAACTATAAGTAAGCAATAACAACGTGGTAATTTTAGCATTAATTGAAAATGCTGGGAAGGAAAGGAACCAATATTTGCTAATGGAAAACAAGGGAGGAGAAGAATCTGTAGGAAAAAAATAGTTTAATGCTTTCTGTAAGAGCAGTACAAACAGTAAAAGAATAAAAACTATTTAGAGAAGTGCTTGACACTAATTTTTTAGCTCTCCCATCTTTTCGTTCTGTGAGCAAAGTAAGGCACTCCAAATCTGAAATCAAGTCTCGACATGTTTTTGTGATCTTAAGGCATTTCATATTTGAACAATTTTAGACTCTCCTCTTGCAAATATGTGTGGAAATATGGGGCATATGGGGAAGATAATGACACATTAAACCCAGTGTGATTTTTCCGAGGCATATTTGTTTGCAGTTTGTTCTTGATGATTAAAGTGAATAGGACTGCTGCAGTAGTCTATAGTGAAAAGAAATGTTGGTTGTACAATAACAGATTTACCAAGCCATGCCTAATAGAAATGGTAAACAACCCTGGGTTGTTTTGCCATGACAGATATGTCTTAAACATACGGCAGTGATAGTGTTTAACTCCATGTGCTCTACAACCTGCATGGTAGAGCTGTCCTTGATCTGCAGGCTTGTGGAAGGTATTTGCTGCTGTATTGTGACCAAATGTACACGTCAACCAGAACTTACTCCTTATTTTTTTTTTTTCCCCTCCTTTCTTTTCAGTGATTTTTTTGAACGCACCATTCTGTGCAACAGCCTTGTATGGAGTTGTGCTGTCACAGGTAAACCAGGACTCACATATCAGGAAGCACTGGAATCGGAAAAGAAAGCCAGGCATAATCTCCAGAGTTTTCCAGAGGCACTCATCATTCCAGTTCTCTACTTGGCCACCCTTACCCATCGCCCACGACTTCATGAGATCTGTGATGAAATCTTTGCTTATGTCAAGGATCGATATTTTGTTGGTGAAACAGTGGAAGTCATTAGGAGTAATGGTGCAAGGTAAGGATATTTAAAAAACAGTGGGTTTTGTTTGTTTGTTTTGTTTCATATGGATACTTCTTGTGCATTCTTTTTTTGAACCAAAAATCAGGAAAATAAACTCGATCAGATGCACCAGAAATCACGTGTCATGTTTTGGCTAGTAGTGCTGTTCCTGCTCCTTGCTGCTTTAGTTAAGAGTAGGTTTCCATTGCTGGGCTTCGTCTATCTTTACTTTGGTTAAAAGCAGTAGTGGAGACAGCAGTTCTCTCAGCTCTTGACACAGTAGCTTTTCTGTCTGAGGGATGGACTTGCAGAAGAAAGTCAGGTCCCTGGTGTGTTCGTGTGAGGAAAGTGTGTGTTGTGGTGATTTTATTTATTTATTTATTTTTTAACCTCATCACAATGTAAAGAACATATTGCACTTTCAGTGGTTAGACATTCTTTAAGGTCAAATGAGGTGTTGTGTGACCAAGAGGTAACTAAATATAGTGTGGACGGGAAGAGAGGTATACTGGACATTTCAGTGTGAAGATCAGGAATGAGATTTAATTAGAAACTAGGGGAAGTTAGGATTTTAAAATATTTTAAAAGTTTTGATGAGGTCAGCTAGAATAAGGTTAGGATTTTTTTTTTGTCTTTCAGGTAGTAAGTAATATGATGAAGAATGTATATATTTTTTTCATACAGACATAAGTTCTCAGAGAATTGAGGGTTTATAAAATGTTTGCAATAGATGACTAGCTGGGGTTTAGTATTTTTACCCTTTTTTCCCCTCTTCTGGGTTTGTGCTTTCTCTTACATCAACTTATTTTGTATACTATAACCATTTATATTGTTTTTTCCTTAAACCAATAAAAGCATTCAGTTAGAGGGTTGAACAATAAGATTTCTCAGTGATGATTTGGAAAAATGTTGAACTTTGGAGGCTTTCTCATGTCACTGGTAAATACGTTCTGCTTTGCAGCATGTATCTAGTATGGGCCTTCAAGCAGCTTCAGCGAGAGGACTTCAGCAGGTCTTTGTAGAGTTTGTTGACTCGTGTAACTGAGGTTTGAGGAGAGAGTCAGCCTGCTCAGTCAGGGAATACCTACAGAATGAGTGTTAGAGCTTTCGTGGAGTCGGCTGCTTGTGTTCTGGAGGCAAAGTGCCAGCTTGCCCTGCTGAGCAGATGGGGCTCAGGCTGTCGGCTTGAGGGCAGCCTCGGGTCCCTGGCTGTGACCTTGTGTGTCCTGGGTGATGGGAGTGGGTGGCCCAAAAGGGTCATCAGGGGCTCAGCTCCAGCTGAACCTTCATGCATTCATGCAGCTGAACCTTCAACATTCAACCTCGTGTCTTAGTACATGATGTCATTCTGTGCACTTGGTTCAGTGGCTAATCCAGATCTTTTAAAAGACAATTTTGTACTATGTAATGAGAAAAATCCTAGAAGGATGTGCTGATGTAGGACATAATTTGTAAAGGAACCTGTATAGATGGGTAAGCAAGGTTGGGGCTGAAGAGAGTAGCTTTCCATATATCCCCAGACTTATTCCTTCCAAAAACTGAAGTCCCAGATTGCAAATCTGGGACAGGAGAACTTCTGTAGAGCTGCTGCTGCCTTTACAGCTATACCGATATCCAAAGTCTGACTCTTTTTCATCTTTATGCTTAATAAAGTAAGTAGACCCATGTTATCATTAATGCTAAAATAGTTTTGTTTAGGTAATAAGGTCTCTTTTTATCAGAAGCCTGCATGTCATGAAGTGCAGTTGTAGATTTTCACTGCTGAATGAAACACCTTTCATTTGTCTTCAGTCTTTGAAGAGACTGTCACTACCCAAACTATTAACACAAAGCATGCTTTAGAAGAACATACTTTTTTTTTTTTCAAAAACAGCCTCTCTATCTTTCTCCTACTTTATTCTAAATTACTAGCTAAAATATTTATGCTTGTACATCTTAGCTTTTCAAAGTTTAAATGAAAAGTAAGCATATATGCAGTAAATAAACACTTTTTCTTGCTTCTTAATCTGATGAAATGCAGAATCTTTTTCATATTTTTTGACTGTTACAAGTCATTTTCTTAAACCTGCCCAAGCTAAATTTCGTTCTGATAAAGTTGTGATATTATTCTGTCTAACGAAGATAGCTCTAACTTATTTGTATTTATTTTTATTAGCCCTTAATTCAATCTTCTCAGTTATTTAAAATTGTATAGAGATACATATCTTAACAATTTTGTGTTCATGTTCTAGTTTTAGAGCAGTACATTAGTCAGATCAAAACTTCTTAAGCCTTTGGGGTGAGCTAGATATAATTCAAAATGCTGCAAATTCAGATAAAATCTATTTCCTTCAAAAATTAAGCTGCTAGGGATTGTATGTTTTAAACTACATAAATATAAACTGTGTCTTGTAGAATGAAGCATAGTTTTTTGTAGCTGGTTGTGCTACGCTGATATTCTAGATAAGTGTATAGCAGAGAGCTATTTGACTCCTTTAATATTAAGTCCAGGAAACAGTACAAATAATGTTTATCTTTATGCTTAGAGATACACAATTAAAGAGTATAAAGTGAGAAGAGATGAGACAGTTACTCTTTTGCCCAATTCACAGTTGACTTTGACTTCTATTTCGCAGGCCTGCGTTGAGGATATGACATACAGCTTGTGCTACTAGTAAAGTGATATGTGTCTGTGTGCTTTGGGTAGCTTGTCCCTTAGGCTGAACTCTTACTCAGTATATGGTTTCTGCAGACAATATAGAAGTGTAGTTGTTCTGTTTGGCTGTGATTAGCTACATTGTCTTCATCTTTTCAAACTTAAGTGGTCATAGTCCATCTAAAATGAAGTAGCATCTTATGAGACCCCACAGAACTTGGCATCTCCTGAAAAGCCATTTGTCTAGGTGTAAACAGTTCTACTGCATTTGCATGTAAAGCTTTTTGTGCATATAATGTTTGCAGGATTGTTGGCGCTCTGAGCTCTAGGCTTCACTTAATGTGAAGCCTACAAGAAATGCCTGTGTAACAAGGGGTGAATTGAGGTTGTTGAAGCAAATCAAGTATTGACTTTTTATTACTCTGAGCTTTTCAAAGGTAGTACTTTTGTAAGAGGAATGGTTTTAATACAGCCTTGTAGACTTTGAATAGAGTAAATGGAAAGAAACCTAGACGTTAGAAGGATTAGGATTTTGGGTTAGTAATGTGTATGTGTTTGTGAAGCAGCCTGCAGTACCAGGTATAATGAACAGTGCATCTGGAGAGGGGTAAGAACACAACTGCTTTGTGCAGAGGTTAGGCACAGGCAGAAGTCTGAGAACGGTGATTCTCGTAACCAGTTTGGATGTTTTGGTTGTTGCCTCATTCCTTTTTCTGGGTTTATGTCCCTTATGGGTTCCTCTGATTTCTAGCCTTTCGTTGTCCCCTTCAGCTTTGTATTTGGCTGCCTCTGCCTTGTTGCTGAGGGTTGGTAGGAGGAACTTTGAGAGTGTGGAAGGTATTTTGTCCCTCCTGCTAAGTCGCATCTGGTGCCTTTGCAGTCCTTATCACCCAGGAAAGAAATTGCAGAGAACCCCACATAGTCCCATGTTGTGACTTGTCCAGGCAGTCTCTGAAAATGATGCTGGGAATTTGGTAGTCTAGTAGGAGAAACAAGGAGCCAGTTCTGTTTGCTTTTAAGCCGTCAGAGGATGCACTGATCAAAAGTGGCCAGCTTTTATTGGTGTATAAATATTTGATTTTTCTGGCCAAGCTTGGGCTGACTTTCCTCCAAACTGGCAGTTATGTGCCTTTCTTCCTCTCGCTCTTTCTTTCTTCCTCTCGCTCTTTCTTTCTTCCTCTCGCTCTTTCTTTCTTCCTCTCGCTCTTTCTTTCTTCCTCTCGCTCTTTCTTTCTTCCTCTCGCTCTTTCTTTCTTCCTCTCGCTCTTTCTTTCTTCCTCTCGCTCTTTTTCTTGGAAAACTATTTATTTAAACAGAATTATTCTAGTTTTTGTTGAAAAACGTTAGCATAACATTTCATTTCAACCATGACCAACTCAGCAGCTAATGTTCTAGTTCATGTTTTACTGAAATGGGAGGAAAGAAGTGTAGACCACACTGACTGGAATTTCTTACTGTATTTGTGTGTCAGAACTGGAAATGTAAGAGCCAGTAGCACACTAGTCAGTGTTTTCCCTCCCCTCCCCCTGAAGGACATCTCTTGCAATCTGTCCATTTGGTGCTGCCTTAGTACTGTGCAGTACCAGCAGGATTGTAACTCGTTAAAGTGCTTTGCAAGATACTAGAATCTGAAGTCAGTTATTTGAAACTTGGAAGGGTATAGAGTGGAAGACCTCACTGAAAAAGCAGTGGATGCCTCAGACTAAACAGCAACTATTTAAACCTACCATTACATAATTCATACAGCTGTAGTATGTTCTCTTCTGCTTGGAAGTCAGCAGTCAAAAAAGTGGGTTTTAAAAATTTTTTTCAGAAGAAAAATGTTTAACTCATGTATAAATGACTGCTTGTGATGTAGCACTAGTGTTCAGAGAAAGGATGCTCTTACAAGAAATGGTGGCTTTCCTCGTTGGTGCAAACAGCTGTCGTACCATCATCAATCACTTTGCAAGATTGCAGTCGAATTTTAGCAGCGAAGACGTGGGTTGGACAACAACTTCACTAGCTCTTCAGAACCCCCTTCCTCCATGTTAAAAAAGGGTTATATGAGGCCTTTGCTTCCCCACTGAAGTTTGTATTATGCTATGCAGTAATGAATAAGGAACTAGATTAAAAAATCAACCACCTGCAAATTAAAACAGCTATAGGTTATGTGCAAGTAATGTATAAGAAGAAAAAGATCATATAGAAAATGGCAAATATCAAAAAGGGACTATATTTTGCATTTAATTTGTCCACTAGATTCTGCCACAGAAGAATACTGGCCTGATGTCAGTAAGCAAGTCATATGAGGATGCTTTACGAGGATGTAGTGTTTTTAGGATCTCTGTTCTGAGCAACCTGGTATCCACCATTGCCACGCTGTAGAAAATGTAGATAG